GAGCCTTGCTGTCTATGCATATTCTTCTCTCATGTACCTTGTTTTGGTCCCAGTCCTGCAAGACCATGATCTTTGTCTCTGTCCGAGTAGAACTTTGAACAAGATAAAGATTGGCATTGATGACGAAACATTCAGATTCTGGTCCCATGTTATTACCCTTACCTGGGCCAACAAGTCAATAGATGACGGATTGGGGGGAAAAAGAAAAGAGCGAGACAAGGGCTGCACGGTTAATAATTGCACATTTGTGAGATTGTTTGCTGAAGTGACAGCCTATTGGTCTTGAACAAACTCCGACCAGCGCACTTCTTGAAGACGACGACAACAACAACAACAACACGACAATCGCAAATCGCAATCACAGTCCCCAGTTCTGTGGAGAATCCCAGCATCTATACGAAGTAATACAGGGAAACTTGGAGAAAAAAAAGAGAGGGGCTGTGACAAACCGGTCAAGAACAAGCTTTGAGTTGATGTTGGATCGGGTGATGGCCCTCGATTTTTGTGTGCCTGCAATAATAGTAACTGTAACCTAGCCCAACAACTGTATGATCGACCACGTCCTAACGCTCAAGCTGATCATCTCAGCAACTGGTGGCGTGAGACGATGGAGCCGCGACGAGGGAGCCCCAGCCTTCTGCTAAAACTGTGGCTCCTGAGCCAGAAATAATTCGAGAATCAGCATTGGACGGATACTCTGCAAACGTTTGCGGAAAGTTTAGCTGTAGATAGCTGTCAGCAACAAATGCATTGAGCTCAGCCAGGATTCATCCATCCACATCGTCAATATTGCCTCCCTCGCCTCCCTTGCTTTGCCGTGCTCTGCCGTGCTCTGCCGTGCTCTGCCTGGTTTCTTATTAGCCTTAAGGCTCGAGGTTTTCCGTCCGGCCTAGCCCTGTTCGTACTCCGTGGAATAACGGGAGAGCAAAGTTGGCGTGGCACGATACACAGCAGATATTCACTCGTACAGTACACGAGCTGCTGCGTAAACCGAGGAGCATATTGCATTGTGGTTTCTCGATAGCAGCGAAGCCGTTTGAATTCCGAGGCCTTGGGCATCGATGGTCATTCTTAGTGACACGTCCAAGAACACGAGATGGAAATAACTTCAAAACACTCATAGTATCCATTAATCTCCTCCTTGTAATAGAACCAGTCTTGGGTCCTGAAGTCCATACGAACCTCACACATCCTGTCTCTCCACGAATGGGCCCCTAATAAGAAGCATTGGCCAAGCTTTGATCTAAAAAAGACCATCCCGATCCACTCGGCGGACAGGGGCTAAGAAGGAAAAAGGAGGGCCCTCCCACTCGCTCTGGTTTTTTTCGAAAGAGTGATGATTTTCAACTGACGAGCCGCGTACCTGAACTTGACCCGATCAGGTTTGAGCTTCTGTGTCGATGAGTTTCCTAGTACCCGATTAGGTTGCATACATACACAGTGCGAGGGGCGACGTTCACAATAATTGATTGAGTTAACTTCTCAATGCCTGGATCTCGGCTCCTTTCCAAGTTTTGCCCTGGTCCTGCAAGTGAAAAGACGTCGTGAAGCCCGAGTTCTTGTTCGTGAGATCGTCGACTCGGCTCCTCCTGTAGATCGACGACGTCAGCGAGGAACAAGGGCATGTTTGGAAAAGATCAAAAATGGAGTAATATCTAAAATGGGAATGGAAATCACATCACGAAAGCAAAGAGCATGGTCATGGTCAAGGTTAAAGTGGAGGAGTAAAAGATCCTCTCATCCATGAATACAGGCTCATATCATGTGGAATTCTCTGCTCGCGTCTCGCTGATTTGGGGCCTTCAGTGGGTGCCTGTTCGGCTGTCGTGGATCGTGGTGGGGAACGGACCCCCTGTGCCCGCAACCCCAAGCCCGTAACTCTGCAAGCCAGAGCCCAAAGCTCCAGGGGTCTTGAGAAGGGAATGGAATGGAAAGGGCCACGGTCATGGCGGGAACGGCGCAAGCGATGCAGCCAATAATTGACTAACTCAACTCTCTTTGAGATCCAATATCCGAAGGCCCCGGGCTGTTATTGTCTTGTGCTATTATACTCCGTACCTGATGCTCGAACGTAGTAGAACACACGAATGTCGACTGTCAGTCAATGACAGAGGTAGCTGTGAGTCAATAAGTGCCAAGCAGAATCAAGCATTTGAACCCTTATCTCCACAAGAACTCCAGAATTTCTCTTTACTCTAGACAATGGATATACTGTGCGCGTATTGAATAGAAATTACAGCAATGCCTTGGTTACGACGAAGAAGAAAAAGAGAGAGAGAAACACTGAGCGGTCATTGGCACAGATCGATCAACTACATCTGAGTGACGAGCTATATACCTGTATGCCTATTCACGATCAATGTTGAAATGCAGGACTACACTCTGATATTGAGCATCCTACTATATGTAGTTGCCAATCAATTCATACAACAATCGTCAATGGCAAAAATAACCAACTCTTGGCCAAGAGTATTCCAGCAACTAGTAGATGATGGGAAGTCCCCTTGTTGGCGTATTGCAGGATACTTTCTTGTTTTCTTCTTCTCCATATTTTACTCAGGATAAATCTGGGATATAGAATTGGGCTGCGGATATCGTGTCATGTATTACATGGAGAGTCGACGGAAGTCTCCATGATGGAGAAGAAGTCGCGTCAGCAAAACAATGGATTCGTGAAACGTTGAAGCCCGGTACCATAACCCATTGGCTCATCCTACGCCCAGCTCACCCAGCGTCGCCCGGGCTTTTAGACTGTCTCACGAAGAAAAGACATAGCTCCTATCTGCCGCACATCCCCAAGGCTGAAGGGATTTCCAGGAATGGCCATGATCATGGTCTAAATGCAAGCAACAGCGCTATTGACGTTGTTGGTTGTGTCTTAGATGCCACGCAATTTCCCCCTGCAACTAGCGTACCGGCTTCTTGATATGTCCGGCTTAAAGTGCAGCAGTTCATCATTAATGTTTCTGCACCTTGCGGCTTTGAGGAGGTGCCGTAGCTGAGTTATCGGAAATATTGAGCCCCTTTGCGGCTTTGCCCGTTCAGGCATGGCCCACGCCTCTTTTTAGATGAGCAAGCCTCAGCATCAGCTCTTGATTATTGATGCCACTCCAAGAAATAAGGCTTCGAGATATTGTTTCGGATGTCTTGAGACAATCGTGTTCCATTGGACATACGTCAAGCCATGTCATGTTTTGATCTGCCTGCATTTGCATTCGTAGCATCAGCTGTCGTGTAGGTCTGATCTAGGGCCAGCTGAACCTGTACAATACCACATGCTCACTCCGAAGTTAAGGATGCTATTGGTGAAGCCATGGCCGCGGCTCTGGCTCTCACTCTGGTTCAGCGGTGACCGTCCCTCCAAGACAAGGGTTGCCTGTTCTCATGGAGCAACGACGCTAGCGAGGTGGTAGTCGGGAAAGGATACGGGCTAGGACGGGCTAGATGAACGGGCTGTGACGATGAGTTTACGGGGACCATTGACTTGAGCCATCTGTTTAATATTCTGATGCAATTGAGCTGATACGTATCTACTCCGTAGACTCCGATTCCACAGAATTTCACTTGATGAGAGTTGCCGGTTTTGACTTGAGTTGATCGAAAGTTTGTTATAGCCACAACAGCTAATACAGTCCTGTTATGTGTCGTTATTCTTGACATATTCACCTCGGTTATTCTATACACCACTCTTTTGTCCATACTCCTCTATACCTAAGGATTACAACGTTATATGAAATCGAACCGAATCAAATAGCATCACATCGCAAAAGCAACTCATTCCACATTCGCTCACTGGCTCTGCGAAAGCGACTCTTCTCTCTATCGAGACGGAGGCCGTGCGCTGTCCACGGGGTTTAATAGAGCGCACACTCTTCCAACATTTGCACTGTGCAACCCCCGACCCCCGTTTAGGTGCCCTTTGAGGTCTGTCTGTGCTTGGCCGTTCACTTATCCATGGCCCTAAATATCCATGTCGATTGGATTGAATTGGATCCATGAACTGTACTGACTGGCGCTGTTTGTACTGTTGCATGTATCTATCTATGTAGCCTGTCGGGCCACCACTGAATTGGTCAGGTCAGGTCTAGACTGGACTCGCTTCTGCTCGTTCGCCATCTTTCTCTCGTTCAAACCTCACCACCACCACTCGCTTCTCCCCCCTAATCATCTCCGCTTCCTAACTTTTTTTTACTGTTGCGTTTCTGTCGTTGACGTTAGCCGCCTGTCAAGTCTTATTCAATCAGTCTGTCTCTGCCCATCGAAAAGAGAGAATCTGAGTCGATACGAGACGACTAAGACTGAGCCTCTATCTCTATCGTCTTACTTTCTATACATACATTACATGCTTTCACTCTCGCTCTCGCCTTGATCCGACCGTCTTCTTCCGGCTTTAACCAGCCACTTTTTACTCCTAATACAAACCGTCTTTCGTTTCTGGAGATCATAATGTGAGTCTCAACTCTCTTTGCCTCGGATCAATGACGCATGCCTCCAACCACCCGGATTATATGTTTCGTCTCTGGAACTTGTCTCGACTCTCTCCATTCCGACAAAGCCTTTTGTCCCCGATCCTGTATACCCACGCACGACTGTGTTTGCACTGCTTATTGCTGCTGCTCTGCTGCTATCAATCCCGCTCAATTCTTTTACGTGCTGTGTCTTCAACAATTGCGACAACTGTCAGTGCATCATTTGTCACCAACACTAGCTGACTGGCGATCCCTCAATCATGCAGTTTTCCGCATCCATCATACGCATCTTGTTTGCTTGACACGGTTCGGTTCGAATACCCTCGCTATCGTTATCAAACGCCGCATCAACGCACGATCTGCAGTCTTTGTTCCACATCTTCGTTTCGATTTCATATTATCAGGCCCAAAACGCCGCCGTATATCGATCACTAAACAGTACCAATAACTTCAGCTCAGCTCGGACCGTTCCGAGCCTCTTTATGGGCTGTATCTAATCCCAAACCGATATTCAATTATTATACCTTCTACATGCCTAGATTCGGTGTTGCGTTTAACAGGCGGAAGTCAACCGCAACCTCGGAGGATTTTCAGCATGCTTCAGTAACACCAGAGCAATCGTCATTCCGAGTTATTGAGCGTACCGACCCTGCGCTCGGAAAATCATTTGACGGAGGCGCCCGAATGGCCAGGAACTCTGGTCATCACATTCCTAAGTCTAGTCACCTGGAACTTGACACTGAAGATAACATGTTTGCCGACCTCAAGAGTGGCAACAGGTGAGTTTTTCCCTTCCATCCCCCACCTCCTCCCTCCTCTGCCTGTGTGACTCGCCAAGGAATGTTGCACGACTGCCGTTGGTTCTGGAAAGATAAAAATAACACAACCTAAGTCATGCACCATGGCGCTGACTCCTTTCCAGGGGAAGTGGGGCCTCTAATACGACCAAAGCCACATCAACTGATACCTCATCAAGGCACAGCAATGCCTCGACCGCTCCGTCTTCTACGAATCTCGATGGTCAGGACGATTCCAAACATTCCCATTTACAGAAGAAGAACTTGCACGAGATCGCTCCTCGACCTGGAGTAAAATCCAGTGGGTCCGGATTTCTGAACCGAGCGGGTCGAACATTTTCTTTTGGGGTCCAGAAAAAACACAGCGCGTCTTCCCCAAAGATCGACAATAACGATATTCCTCCCGTTCCAGCCATTCAACAGGATGCTTTTAGTGGAAGATCTAGAGGCTTGACCGAATCTACAACCAGCACTGCTACACCGCCAAAGTTAGAGATGAAGAATGGGGGTATGGATATGGGAGGTGATTTCGGCTCCATGTTCTCGTCCTTCGACAAGAGAGCGAGCGTCGCCACCATGAGGGCTGACGGGTCCGCGGCTCCTCGCTCACTTACCAGCAACCGACCCATCCAGCCGCCCCCTCTGAGTATCAACAAGATCACCAAGGTTGAGCCTGGCCCTGAGTCGTGGCACAGCCGGAACGAAGACGACAATCTTCTCGGATCTCAGCCTGGGACACCTGAGCTCGATGACGTGCCGCCCCCTGTTCCGCGCCACCAGAGTTCCTTCAAGACCTCGAACCGGCCGTCCGATATCATTGAGGATGAAGACGCAAAGTTACTGCAGGATTCCATCGCAGTCGGAAGGTTGCTCTCCGAGTCCAGTAGCTCCAACCCTCCTTCCGGCCGTTATCGACGGAACGAAGATTCCTTTTCATCGTTCGAAAGGAAGCCTCTCAACAGCAGCTTCAACAGAGGAGACGACAATTTGTTCGAAGGGACTTCCGCTCATTCTTCGCGTATCACCAACCGTTTCAATTCTCGAGCCCCTAGCCCACCACGAAACAACAAGGTCATGACTCCGGCCCAGTTCGAACGATACCGAAAAGACAAGGAGCGTCACGATGCGAGCGATGGAGTAATGCGGTCAGCCCCCAACGATGACGATGACGATGAAATCAATTACGATGATGATGAGGACGAGATCGAGAAGTCCAAGCAGCAAGCAAAGCAGAGAAGAAAGCAGGAGGCTCATATGGCAGTCTATCGACAGCAGATGATGAAAGTCACTGGAGAGCAGCCCGATATGCAATCACATGAAAGGCCCGGACTGGCCAGCTCGATGAGTGCACCCCAACTTCACCTCATGAAGACACCATCTCCCGGACCCCCGGCAGGTGCTTCTGACGAGGATGATGACGAGGAGGTTCCTTTGGCCATTCTGCAGGCTCATGGCTTCCCCAGCAAGAACCGACCACCCGCCAGACTCAGCACCATGGGCTCCAACCCCAATCTGCGAGCATCAACCCAGCTGGCACCCCCAAGACCCGGCTCGGCAATGGGCGAGAGCAGCAGTCAAAACCAGCGCCATTCGATGCTGCCTGCATTCGCCCGCGGTCTTCCTCAGGACCCTTTTGTTGGTGCAGGCATCGCAAAGCCTGCTATGCGAGAGTCGCTCACTTTCAGCGGCGGTCTTCCTGCCTCAGAGTCTCAGCAATCCTTGCCTCCTGGAGGGTTGGTTGGCGTGATCGCCAGTGAGGAACGCTCAAGAGCTATGCGCCGCGGCGGTCCTAACGCAAATGGCCAGAAGTTCGTCCCCGGCATGAACGCGCCCCAAGGACCTCCTTTCGACAACATGCCCCAAGGTGTCATGAACGGCATGGGTGGCATGTACAATATGCCAGGCATGGGCATGTCTCAACAACAGATGCCTATGCCCATGGCGCCACCACAGCTCACTGTGGGAGACCAGGCACAGCTTCAAATGACCCAGCAGATGTCACAGTTCATGCAGATGCAGATGCAGTTTATGCAAATGATGGCTACCAACAACCAGCAGCAGCAGCAACCCGGGATGATGCCACCGATGCAGCCTTATGGTGGACTCTCTGCCACTCAATCTATGAATGACCTCTCTTCTCGCCACTCAATGATGCTTGAGCCAGCTCTAGAGCCTCCCCGCCGTATGGACGCCGGAATGCGTACCATGAGCATGGTGGCGCCACCTTCAGGCGCTCCCTTCCTGCCACCATCTGGCGGGTACGCTGGTTCGATTCACGGCATGCCCCATATGGGATACACCCCGTCAATTGCACCATCCGAGCGAAGCAACATTGGTCTTCCCGGCCGATATCGCCCAGTATCTCAAATGCCGGCTGCTGCAGCCCCCGATCCCCACCGACGAACCAACACTATGTCTGGAGCGTTGGGTCGCTGGGATGACCCCAAGGGCAAGTCTACTATTAACGTTGTAAGCGCCGCAGGCGACGGTTCAGATGATGACGATGAGGAAGGGTGGGAGGCGATGAAGGCCAAGCGAGACAAGAAGCGTAGCATGTGGAAGTCAAAGAAGGGACTGGGAAGCGATTTTGGAACCATGATATAATTCGAAGGATTAGTGCGTGTGGAATTATCACAAAAGAGACGGAGGTAAGATTGGTTTAAATGCTCTATTTTTGCATCTGGATATCCATGGGTTGAAATACTCAACCGCCGAGTGGAGAGCCACATACAATTGTATATTCTAGAAGTGCTTTTCACCCGGGCGTCGTGGGGAAAGATATGATGAGCACCAGCTCATTAGGACTGAGACTGGCGCATGATAGATACATCTTTATGCGGTAATTGACTAATTGGGAGGTCATTCTCGAAATGGTATACATCTGTGGCCCGAGTCATGCTTTCATCGATCCGTTGACGGGTGCAAAGGCTATACACGCCTTGTCCAAAATGAGATGTTTTTATCATTTGTCATGCACGTTGCTGTTCTAACCATCAATGGTGCCGTTGGCCCACTCCTTTCTCTTGACACCCATCTCGACAGCCGCCAGACCCCAATCCTCTCCATGGTTGTGACCCTTACCGTCGACACCGGCACGAGCCTTCGCTTGGTCCTCCGTCAGAACGGTCAGGACACCAAGAATGACGGGAACGCCAGTGTCGAGCTGCACACGCATAAGGCCCTGGCAAGTTGACTCAGCAATGTATTCAAAGTGCATGGTCTCTCCCTTAATTAGAACGCCCACAGCGATGATGGCATCAAAGGCGCCTGAGGAGGCGGGAAGAGAGGTGAGATCGGTAGTGGATGAAGCCAGAAGATCGGTGGCCGAAGGGCCGCCAGTTGAGGTACCCTGAATCTGAGAAGCGGAGAACAGGCTAGAAAATGGCAATACGTCAGCGACTCGGCATCAACGGGTACAAATGAAGGGGGAGGTTACCGCTGGACGGCAATGGGGAGCTCCCAGGAGCCAGGGCAAGATTGGATGACAATGTTGGACTCCTTAACCCCAGCTGCGAGGAGCTTCTCCTTGGCGCCGGTCACAAGAGGGTCGATGATGGTTTCGTTCCAACGAGCGTGGACAATGCCGATGCGCAGGCCAGAGCCATCGTGGTGTTGCGGAGAGGGACCCTTGAGAGACATTGTCGGAATTCGAGATTGAGATCAAGTTGGATGCTGCGATAGAGAATTTCTGTATGTCGGCAGTGGGATGCAGCTGTCGCAATCTACTGAGATGGCTAGGTAGGTAACTAAAAGACGAGGTCGGAGGATGGTTTAGGGTCATGAAAGGAACCGAAGCTGAGCAATGGTTTCTATCCGCCATCCGCCAGAGACAACGCGGGGCTACTCACAGCGGGGCTGGAAGGTCACGTCACAGGGGAACAGGGACAGAATGGTGCCTTGGAGGCTACTAAGGTACTAAAGATGGAATGCAGGGACTGGAGGTACGTACCTTGATCGGACCTTTCTAACCTCTTGGCGGCAACTGGTGTGCATCTTGTGTTAGTCGGAAGGAAGGACTAAGGGGAACTAAGGTAAGAGGCTGAATCACCTCCTTCTTCAAAGAATCTCTTTAGATAGGTTCTTGAATCGTATGGAAGGCAGACAAGAATCACCACTCGTCTCAATTGTTTTTCTTCCCTTTCATCTCCCTCTTCTTTACGGAGTAACACCCCCTGCTTTAATTCCCCTTCTTATATAACTCCACCAGCATTATCCACATGATCCGTGTTAGTCCCTCGGGCAACCAGATGCTGTGTCTTAATGCAGCATAAACTACCTGGGAAATTCATATCGCAATTCCATCTCAAGCCATCTCACTATCACAATGTCAATATCTGCGTTGCCGCCATCTTCAGCACACCTCCTACGGTCCTCATCTTCACTTCCTGACCCTCTCTCCGTGGTCAAGGAGCTTGTTGATAATAGTATTGACGCGGGTGCTACATCAATCGAAATTACAGTTGCTCCCAACACCGTCGACAAAGTTCAAGTCCGAGACAATGGTTGTGGGATACAGGTGGATGACTTCAAGTCATTGGGGCATCGGTCTCATACGAGCAAGCTCCGAAACTTCGACGAACTTCATTTGAAAGGCGGCGGGACACTTGGTTTTCGTGGCGAGGCTCTTGCTAGTGCCAACTATCTGGCTACGATCAAAATCACAACTCGAACAGCCCAGGATCCCATTGCATCACTACTTCTCTTAAACACAAAATCAGGCGGGATTAGCAGACAACAACCTGTTTCCGCTCCTGTCGGAACGACTGTCCAAGCTTTGAATTTGTTTCAAACCTTTCCTGTTCGGAAGCAAAATGCTATCAAAGTGAGCCGAAAGACCCTGGGAGATATCAGACGACTTCTAGAGGGTTATGCGATCACACTTCCACACATCAGACTCTCGTTCAAAGTGCCCGGTAGCTCAATTCAGCCTTGGGTTTACACACCATGCTCAGCACCAAGCACGCGAGAGGCAATCACACAAGTGTTTGGTAACACTCTTACAACCCAGCTCGTGGCGGTATCATCAGACTCTCACGCTGGAGGAACTTCAACCGAAGTACAGTCCAAAAAATTGAGAATTGTAGCCTCCTTGCCTAAGCCTGACTCCGATGCCAATATCATCAAGGGGAAGGGAGCTTTCATCTCGGTCGACTCACGACCTATTTCATCGTCCAGAAGCACGGGAAAGAAGCTAGTTGCTATTTTCAGATCGAGTATTTCCGCAGTTCTAAACTCACACGACAAATCGCGAGCGCCCTCCAACGCATTTATGCAACTTAGCATTCAGTGTTCACCTGGATCATATGACCCCAATGTGACGCCCTCGAAAGATGAGCTTCTTTTCGTGGATGAACCAGCCGTCCTTAGTTGCTTCCAGAATCTCTGTGATTCTGTTTACACCAAGAATGTTTTGGGTGACAAAGAACTTCAACACAAGCTGGTAGCGTCTGAGAATAGCCTATCGCCTCTACCATGGGCTTCGAAGACGGTTGAGACAAGGCTAAGAGACGGAGTACGCCTTGATGGCATGGAGAAAGAACTCTTGTTGACCGACCAAGAACTTGTCACTTCTTTGAACGATGAGCCTGAGAGAGTTCTTGGTGGTACTGACGTATCTAGAAGTGGCGAAAGGGGTTCTCCTGATTCACCAAAGAAAACCTCACGATCTGAAAACCTGGACGGGACGAGGGGTCCTAAGAAAGCCCCAGTAGTTCGGGAGATGATGAGGACACGATTAACAGTAAATCTTTCACGAAGGGAAACCGCTTCGACCGACCTGGATAGCACAGAAGAACTAGTTCCTGTGCATGTTACACCTCGACGGGCTGCCACTCCTCCTGTCGATGAATTGCAATCTAACCCTCGACGTCGAGGATTGGCTTCAAACCGTCGTTTCGGCAACATTGATGACTATTTTCGTCCATCAAGAGATGAGCCGATCCAAATTGCCACAGATGAGACTGCCACGCCCGCAATTCCTCATACAAGGAGCTATTTGACAAGCGCCTCTCATCATCGACGCCTTCCGCTGAAAGAACTGTCAGAATCACTCCTCAACCTATTTCGTGAATATGAGGAAGACGACTACGAAGACGAAAGTGATGATGAGTCCGCATCCGACCTTTCATTTGCTGGGCCAAATGCCGTTCCATCTCCTCACACATCTCCACGTCGTGAGGCTCCTTCTTTCTTAAGCCAGCCATTCAGGCCTCTCTTGGGGCAGCAGTCAATCCGCAATTCAATGCCAGACTTGCAATTAACACTGCCGGCAAATTTACAAACACCGCCATCATCAGACCCTACTGGTGCTGATAACTCAACTCGTCGTGATTCTCGTCGACAATCCACCAACAATATGTTGGCCAGAGCCCAGAGGTTTTCTCGGGGTAGTCTGATACCATCAGTCAACAGGCGAAGCGGCGACGAGCTGAGACAAAGCCGCTTGCTCCTTGGAAATGGTCCCACAGCATCGCAAGGCAGACGTCGATCGGACCAAGTTTGGTACGGCAATGGACTACTTAACCGCAGAAATCCACCGATGAGCAACAGTCGTGACGACTCGGACGCACATCTTAAGGAAATGTTGCACAACAGTCATGCTAACTCTGAGGACCAGGAAGGCTAGCATCCTTCTAGCCCTGGAGAATCCTCCTCTCAGGCCTATGCGCAATATTGGTTGTCCGATCAAGCACCACACAATCATCAGGCCCCTCGCGAAGGCACGAAGGATTCTGAACGATGTCAGCCCCAAAGCAACAAGCCGTGGTCGCACACTCTACAGGTGTTACTTCAGAGAACACCACCACCACAAGCCACATGGTCGGACGAAGAAGCTGGTGGTGGATACAGCCCAGCACCGCTAGATCATATTCATGATCAGCACAAAGAGGGAGTCGAGTCGAGATCTTTCAAGCGGCAGAGGCGCTGTTCAAGCGTTTCGACTTCGGAAAGCGCAGGGTTGGATTCTAGACGTCTTCTCATGAAGCGAGAGCGTATTCGTGCAAACGGAGGGGGGTTGAAACGCATTGCGTCGACAAAACTTCCACTTGAAACAATATCACAAACTGATTCCACGCTGAACCTCTCAGTCAAGATCGAAGTTCAAATTGGCGAGCTACAAGCTGCTACTCTTGAGTTCATGAACTCTGGACTAGCTACGAAACCAGGCCTAGCCCTACAATTCAGAAACATGGATGAGGTCGAAGAGGTTGACAGGCGATTGAGACAAGTTACGGAGTCGTGGCTGAAAGGAAACCCATCTATCACGGTGGAGTTCACATTTCGATCTGAAGTGAAGGGCAAATCGAAGGCGTAAAGCGTTTTGTTTGGGTCGCGGGCACAATAATGACTATGGGAGGAAGCAATCATGGTGTTCATTCGTATACCGTCAATTAGAGGGAACTTGGGGAAAGAGAAGAGCGCTTGCTTACAGAGATTGCTTTGTACGACTGAATGACTAGATAAATTCACGAGGCTAGAGATGGTGGTTCGCAAGATGCTAGGCTAGATGTTCGGCCTGCAGAAGATAGTTAATGAAATTGCACTAATGATTTACTAGTAAGCTGAGCCTGAGGATGGTGTTTATATTGGATCTAAGGTCCTGATTCAGGATTTGCATATTAGCACATCTCCTAACAAGCTTTTTAGATAACTTACTGCCTAGATACCTAATTCCTAATTTAGCTTAAATTTCTACCTTAGATAATAGTATATTATATTTATAATTA